CGCGTTGAATATCGACGAGAATTGGAAAACGTTTAAACAGGACACGAGAACGCGCACGTAGTGTGCATAGATCTCAATAATTATTTTCGTAAATAGAATAATCGTGCGAGAGAGTGCAAAATGTCACGTTCACGCGTACGGGGGCAAAGTGACCGCAGACTTGTGTTCTTCGCGATATGCGCGGCTCCATCGAGCCGACAAACAGCTGACTACGGGATATTGGTAATTGCCACGATAATTGTTCACGATAAAAGACGGATCTTTCTCCCGCAGCCGCCGCCGTCGTATCCACCGGATGCGCTTCCCAGAACGTCGTGCGACTTATCCCGCGCCGCGCGTTATCACGCGAGCTTTCTATGAAAGCGAGCCGAGAACGAAGCCGGGGCCGCGTATCCGCTCGAAGGTTTTTACTCTCGATAGCATGAAGGCAATACGTCGAGGGAATGCGTCTCTCGATTAAAATTACGCTACGCTTGTTTACGTAATTACAGCGGAGCGCATTAGACGTTATCTATCGTGTTTGCCAACATTACTTAATCGTTTGCGAATTGCAATGTCTTTTTAAACATGCGAGTAGATATAAAGATATGACGATAATAACCACGTAAGCATCGTGGAGTTTATTAATATAATTCACGTAATGCAAAAGATTGACACTTGTTTGATACGGAAATACAAACAGATTTTTCTCTCGAAATAAATGAAGGATCTGACTTGTCTAGTACAGGAATTAACGCTCAACACATAAGACGAGAAGCAGACGGCCGTGTTTGGCGGTAAATTCTAACGAAACGCATGTCATGTAAATACTTGGCAGCACGCGTTCGACTTCGAAATCGTCGTTAACGTCGGTGCACGCTTGTCTCTAGTAGAAAGGCTCGCGTATACCAAGGCTACAGGTAATCGGGATAATTTGATGGGATTGTACCTATCAGAAGAGGAGGAAGAGGAGGAAGAGGAGGAGGAGGCGAACGGACGACGGCAGGAGAGAAGAAGGGAGACGAAGGAGGCCAGAGAGGCCGAGAACAGTCAAAGAGAAGTTCAGAGGGCCAATTTACCGGACGAGATTAAGCCCGCGAGAAAAAGAAATTGGAATCGAGACGAAAATTACGGATCTCACGTTCCCCGTCGAGTCCTTTTTTCGTCCTTCCCGCGCCGCGCCCTAATACATACACGCACACACACACACACGAATAGCTTATTTCCGAAGCGACGTAAATCAAAGATCGAAAAATAAATTCTATATTAGATAAATAAAAATGTATATATAATTGTATATTCTTGACTAAAAATCATGTTTTGTGAGATATTCCTAGTTTCATGCAGAAATGAGTAAACAGAAATTATTATAATATTTTTACTTACAGCATGCATACATAAATATTAAATGTTCTAAAAACCTTGACTTCTATTAAGAATTTGATGTCAAGATATTATATGAAATTCTACACTATCTCTCCTACTCCCCTATGCGCTTTTCAATCGCGCATTCCGGACGAGTATTCATGACTCACATGTTGCGGTTTCTCGAGACGGATGCAGCAGAGATTTGATAACACGTAATGCGAAGTTATGGAATATCAAAAGAAATTAAACTGGCTAACGTAATTGCAACACAATCAAATCGAAATAGTCATCGAATCAAGTAAGAACACAGATATATAAAAATTCTATATTTCTTTGAAAAATTGTAATTCAATGCATTATATATATAAAATTTATTTAACAACTATTTAATAAAAACTATCTTTTTCCAAATTACTTTTATTTTTATTTTTCTCCTATTAAGCCTAATATTTATTTATCTGTGTTGAATAACAAATATCAAAATGTTGATACCGGATTAATTTCTTTATTAATATTTCGTAATAAATTTCAAAATGTATAATATAATTATACAAAAAAAGATATGATTGGAATCCGTATCTCTTAGTATTCAAGAATTATTTAAACGAATCTTCTCGATGATTCGTGGATGATAAATAGAATAGCCATATTCTTAATTGGATATTGATCGTCTAAATAAACGACCGTGTTGCAGCGTCGAATTACAGCCTCTCGAACGATTCCAATACGGCGGCAAGAGTCGTGCGTGCGAAATCAAAAATCACGACGATGACGCGATCGATCGATTATTCCGCGCCGCGAACCGATACTCGAGAGTACCGGGGAATGTTATTTCCCCGGAGCGATACAAAATACACAACCGTGTGTAGGACTACCTGGTCGGATCGAGCTCTAGAATTAGAGAGACCCGGAGTCATTAAAATCCCGAAGGATAACTGACCGTTCGAAAGATTCGAGGCCAGGACTTAGAAAAATGTTGGCCAGATCTGTGTGTGCCACCAAGCAATTATGTACGGGGGAGGAATATCCGGTCCATATATCGGTCTCTTGATGCGGGGAGCCGAGGTCTGGAAATATCTACGAATTTTCACGCGAGCCATATGGCACCCTGTTTCGTCGCTCACAACGAAACACACGCAACACACGCCGCGCACACATATTTCGCACACACGCTCGTCGAATGCACGGGTCTAAAGTAGGGATGTAACGCTACATAGGTCTGAAGAGCAGAAGGCATACTCAAATTGTATCTGACGACCCTTTTCTTTGATGTTTTCGAAACCGTCCTTTCTCTCGGGACCTTCCAGGAAAAATTCTCTACGAGAGATTACGTTAAATCCGTATAACACATTTTTAGTGTAGAAAGATTGAAAAGATTAAGAGCCTATACTTTCCGATTTTATACACAACATTTACAATTTCTTGCCGTTTATATTTTTAGTGCCTAGCAATATATATTTGATTTATGTAACGGCTCTGACAATGAGAATTTTAAGACTATTGTAATGTATTGTATATAAGTGTAGAATCTCTCATTCTCAGCAACCGTGGCAGAAGGATAAATACACTCCTATATTTGGAACGACTGATTTCTTTCGGTTAAAGATGCTGCCGCGAACTTTGCCGATCGATACATAAGCATGAAAAAAAAAAAAAAAACACTGTTTATGACGTCGAAGAGACGAAATCCGCAAACGCATCGGCGATATTTCACATTTCGTGTCTAACGAGTTATCTCAATATACTATCAATATTCCTATCAATATATTATCTGTCAATAGTCATATCAATATACTATCTGTATTCCTCATCAAGATACAGAAGTCTTTTCGACAAGTCCAATAATACATTGAATCATTGCCGGATGGATTGAACTGATGACCGGAACTTTCATCCTTACGGTTGTTCCACTTTAAGATTACATTTACGTCTATATTTTCCGGCATATTTACATATTTTTTAAATTTTTTCGTGATAAATTGTGTAAAATAAAAAACTAACGTAATCAAATATACAAAAATGAAATAATTTCTTCATTTAATTGTTTTATATAAATAATAATGATTATTGCAAAAATTGGTAGATTCATGGCGAGCTTTCTTATTAGGAATGGCTTAATGCACAATCTAGTAGAAACCACAAAAGATGTTTTCAATTATCGCGAAAAAAAGACGCGAAATTGCCCTGTGAATAAACGCACGTATGATGTTTCGAGAAATCGCGCCTGTCATTTCCAGCTGTGTAACCAACGCGATCGTCCATCATAAATTCATAAAAGTCGCATCGATGAATACGAAAGAGAATACGCGTGAAGCAATAAATTTCGTTAACGCTAGAGATTTATACACTTCGCGCCACGCGCGCAGATAAGATTATAGTTTATGATCCGTTTTTATAAGTATACGTTTTCTCCATATTATCAATAGTATCATTAATGCTTTTTTTCCCACTATGATACTCTCGTTATAGTAAAATCATATTTCTCGTTTATGGAAACTGGGGAAAGCGCTCTCTCAGAATTAATCCGACTTAAGGAAGACCGTCGATGTATTTGTGCAGTAGTATTCGGCAGTAAATCTGTGACGAGAGTTTCGAAATTTTTACCTGCGCCGCTTTCAAAATAAACAGCTTAACCCTCGTCATGCGAATACTGACGCCATTCAAACTCGCAAGACCATATAACGTATACACTTTTCTCTTCAATTAATATTTACTGAAAATTTTCTTTAGAAAAATAGAAATCGATAGGTATAAAAAGAATTTACCGGATCGAACGTTTCAACTGACAAACTTATTCCGCGAAATGAAACTCTATAATATGGATCCGCTATACGCTGGTCGGCCTGTCAGGCGATCCGCCGTCTGAGGATTAATTTAATAGCCGACTCGAACAGGCCGTATCGTGTATCGACGCAATTTCTGTCTAATGCGAAATGATTTTTATCTCGATTTCTATAATCGTAGTTCTCTTTCACATAGCTACCTTAACATGTCCGCGGATAATGTAACTATCGCAATGTTAATTTTACGATGTGTAATTGCATAAATATATCATAAATTTTTATCCTGATATTGGCAACGCGATCTTAGTCACTAAAAAATACTTAAAAAATATTTTAGACCGAAATTTGTTCGCTTTTTTCAATTTAAGATTTATGGCTGATGTCCGTTTAAAAGAAAATACTGTGTCGAAGAACTTCCGAGAGCCATACAAATGTAGAATCATAAAAATAAAATATTTTAAAGATGATAAAAAAATGTTAAATTATTCCTCTCAAACGGATACTAGCCATGAAATAAAATGTAATAGAAACTGTCTATTCAAATTTTGGAAGAAATCCTGATAGTTTTCTTTGATTTTTCAAGCATTTTCGTTTAAATTTCGTTTAAATTTTCAGATAAAATTATAGCTTTTAAAAATAAACAAATTTAATATAAATTTATTTACTTTGTGAATTTCTTAATGTTTCCCTCTCATACAATCACGGGAGAAAAATTTAAGAGCAAAACTGAACGTCATTCTTAAAAAATAAAGCAAAAGCAATATTTTCAAGATGACGAAGTTTCAATAAAAATTCTTAGAAAATTTCAGGAAATCCTCTGTCATTTTTTTCATATATGAAATGAAATTCTAATTACTTCTACGTACTTACCTGAGTCGCATCTGAGTAAGGCGTCGGCGAATTTTGGTCAACCAGTAAAGATCCGAATACGATGGGTATCCCCGAGTTCGAGGGACTATCCTGTTGCGTAGGCACCATTTTCGGGCCGCTTCGAAAAAAACTCCACGTGCACTTCACTTCAATTAAATTACAAATCTGATGAAATCGACGACTCGCATCACAATCCGTACGCTTTGCCAACGAACGTGAAGACTACTCTTGTGTATCCTCGATCGCTTGTCGATCAACACCGTCGACGTATTTCCGTACGTCGGAATAAATCCGATATCTCGCTGCGGCGAGATAATTGCACAACTCGAAAACGAGTGCTCGTTTCTCCAGACAAAACTTTAGATCCGTATCTAAACAGCTACTTTGCTTATATATTGACTGTCGGGCGAAAATTACGGAAGGGCGATATACGATGCTTCTTCTCTCGTGAACGCGACTCGACTGTGGATGATGAACAGCGCGCGATTCAGCGCGTAGCTATTTCTCCGATCACTGCGTAGAACGCCTCTTCGCTTGCGGATCTTGTCCGAAAACGGGAGAGACGCGACGGCACGTATTCCGCATCCACGTGCTCGCAGAGCAACGACGTGATTACGGTGCGTGTCAATCGTATTCTTCTATCGCTCACGTCGAGCGTATACGCTTTTTCCCGGCTCGATACCGGATATCGATGACGTGCACGCGCGTTTAGACTTAGACGTTAGACGATCCTCTCACAGTCGCTCGTCGATCACGAATTGACATCCTCGCCCGTTCGGGTAACGAAATATCTCGGATACTCACTCCACGAGCGCTCATGTGCTACTGACTGAAACGTGCAGCTCCCCGACTCTATAGAGCGCTCAGCTGTGAGTAGTATCCCCACTTTTACCGCGAACGCAACGCGCAGACCAATCTGCGTCTGTCTGTCATCCCCACCCGCTCCACTTCATCTGCCACGGCTCGTTCGCCGCGCTTACGCGCTTACACTACGCTCACTCAGCCGCGGTACGCCGCGCCGTACGCACGTATTTATGAGAGTACGTTGTTTATTTGCCTGTGCGTATCTTTAAACTCAATTGCTAATCGACAACTGTCAGTGTCAAACACGGTCGCAGTTTTCCATCTTCGACACCACACATTTCTATCTACATTTTCTATTTATATTTTCTATCTTTTTATCTCTCTTCCCAGTGAATCCTATCTTTATGAAAGGCGAGATTCAATAACAAGAAAAAAATGTTACTGTCTTGTATATCATCAACATCCGGATATATATATACACATATATATAAAGTAACATTAATAACAATTTAATACTTATAATATATTTAATACTTACAAATATAAGTATTAAATTGTTATTAATGTTACTTTTAAATTAGAATTGAAAGGACATTTATTATATAATAAATACAAAACCTCGGAACAAAATTCTCTGATTTAATTTATAAAACTCAAACCGGATAAAATAAAAACTTCTCTCAAAGAAAAAAAAAAAAAAAAAAAAAAAGGAGACTCAACTTGGAGACTGCATCATGTACTGTGCCTAATGTCCTTGTATCTTCCCGCGATTAGTTTAATCCTGTGCAACTTGGTGCGACCGCGAAGTCGCGTTATACCGGTTTGGGTACTTGGATGCCATGCCTGCGGGGGCGTAAAAACATGCGAAATTAAGAGATTACGATCAGCGTGGCGTACACTTTCTCATACGATGAGCTTTTGAATGCGTCCTTAAGTATGCCAGATAATATATCTTGAGAAGGCGTGTGTTGCGAAGAAGAAATTTGAATCGTAAACCGTTAATTTAATCCCAGTACAGCTTAAAATGACTTCCAAATAACATGTAAATAACGTTTCTTTAAATCATTTTTTTCGTTGATTTCTGTATCCTTGTCGACTTGCGAATCAATCCACATAAATATAAATATAAATATACTAGACATAAAACTTCAAAACCATACAAAGTCAAGCTTCAATCTATTTATTTCATTTTATAAATCTCAAGATCAGATAAGCGTCACAAACATTGCGGATTGCGTAATAAAACATGTATACAAACTTGATATAATTAAATTTTAACGAGAAAAATTGAACATTCTCTTCCCGAAAAAGAATAATGTGCGTTATATAAATATTTTTTGAATAAATAAATCTATATATATACGTCGGCTGTAATATGGAAGACAGAGAGAGAGAGAGAGAGAGAACGTTCTTTATCTCACTGTTTATATACATTGTTTACTTACGAAGTGCGCACTTCATACTTGATCATGGAATCGTAAAAATGATTTCTTGCTTCCTCTCCGCACGCCTTCCTACTTCTCGCTCTCTCTCTCTCTCTCTCTCTCTCTCTCTCTCCCTCTCTCCCTCTTCTCTCTTCATGTTATGTATTAAAGTGTACGAATACGACATCGTAAAAAATTGCGTGCATGGTAGATTTTACACGTAAACAGCTTTAGTGCTAGTCAATCCTGGTGCTCTTGTTTCTTCGAACGCAATGTTCGGCGCACGGCTGTGCTTATGTTAGGGGAGTTGCATAATAGTACTCGAATCACCACACATTTTCCATTCTCATAGAGATTCTCTAGAGCCGCATTAATCTCGTCAGGCGTGGTGTGCAGCCGGCTGGACATTTTTTCAATAATTGTTTTACGCGGAAATAACAGATCGGACTTCATTGAGCTTATTTGTGCGTACAAATCATAATTCAATAATGATACGTTGGATTATTTGATTTGCTCATATTTTTCATTCTTATAGAAATAATAGAATCACGTTCAGCCAAATGGATATTTTTGCTTTTTAATCATTTCACGTAAATATAGAAATCTAATCTTTATTGTATATATTTGCAGGGTGTTAAAAAAAAATAAATCAAAAAATTCAGCAGTAGTAGATTAAATATTCATTCGAATAAGTTTTATATAGGTTTTATTTAGGTTATATAATTTTATATAACCTAACTGCTGCTGAATTTTTTTGTTTATTCTTTCTTACAATTTTTTGTTATTGTATATTTTTATTAAACTTAGAAAAATTGTTAAAAATATTCTATCAATTTGATTCCTGCCATATCTTAAATCTACCAAGTCTAATCGAAATCGCAAATAATGTTTGTAAACATTACCTTTTTATGTCTTTAAATGAAGAAATCTTGTAAAATATTTTATTCGAATTTAGAATAATATCAATATATACTCTCATATTTCGCGATAATTAGAACTATTAAAACTGTACGCATGTTCTACACGCGTACTTCTGCTTTTAAATCGCACTGTTTATTCAAAAGCCGAGTTCTTTTCCGATAAATGCCCTAATATATAAATGCGGTACGATGGAAAGCGCATTTCGCTCGCGGTTCTTTCGCCTACGATATATTTTTAGTAACCACGCCATACCAGGACGACAACGACGACCCTCGTACGTACAAGAACCGTCGAGCGATGAGCCCATCCAAATTCTTTATTTTGCGCAAACACACGTCAAAAGAGGCACACGTTGAAAGTCATACAAATATAAACCATATATATGCGAGGTCTAGCGAAACTCTTTCGGCGAACGCGACGTCTGCTGCTCTTCTTTCGCGCTTGCGAGTCAGGATCGCTTTCGACGAGAAAAAAACCTTATGTAATGCGATCAGTCCATAAACCGAAATTCTCATATTATCGAATAAAGCCATATTGTCCATCACGACGTTTCAAAAATGATGATTCCCTCATCTCTATTCGCTTCGACGCGTTTCTTTTTCACGGTCAGGATATAGCGTCGGATCTCTTAATTTTTGGCAAAACAACAAGCTATTTATGCTTATAAATACATCGTTCTCACCTGACTAGATCCCTGCTCTTTGCTGTTTTTTCCTCACTGCCAAGGTTAACCCTTGAATATAGGTCAGTTCCGCGAAATAGACTATTTCTGAGAAACGAACGTTATTATTTTCAAGACTAAATCGTCGGGTTTCAAAGAATGTCTTTTTTAAAAACTGCTTAGCTTATTAATTTACCCGATTTTAAAAATAAAATCTTTAATATATAATTAATTAGCAAATAAATTAATTATTCGTTTATCAATTACGTTCATTTTTTAAATGATTTTTTTTTATTTTGGTGCGAAGTGCAAGTTTATGCATCAAAGCATAAAAATAATATAAAAATATCTATATATTTATATAGCAATATAATATCGATATTCTTTTTAACTTCCTGAAAACGTACGATTTATTGGCGGACAGGACAGGTAATGAACGCTGGATTTCTCTGAGGATCGAAACGATCGAGGAAAACGGTGAGACGTCGTTTTAGGATTCGGTGATGGCGGCGGCAACGATGCGTTCGTATTTCAAGCGCAAACATAAAAGCGATATAGGTCGGTGTCGACGGCGGTTTCGATCCTCCCAAGGTCCCGCGTTTCAGGTCCCGCCGAATCGAGGCGAAGCAAAAAGGAAACGGTTTCACCGTCTCTCTCTCTCTTTCCTTAACGGAAAAAAAGTACATCGTCCGGCTCCTGATGGGTGCGGTCGCGTCGCCGCTTTAACCGGATGCTAACTGCAACTTGAGAATACTAAACGCCTCCCTGATGTATTTACAAGAAATACATTTCTAACGATACATACTATACACTGTAGTTAGTTCCTCAGCGTCGACTCACCACGAGAGATAAGCGCGTTTGTTAGAAAAATCTTTTCTTTTTTACTAACTATCATATATTGTCAATGCTACCTTGTGTTCTTCTGTATTGTACCTTTCGCGATCCATGAAAAATATATTTTGGTTTTCTGATATCTGTCGAGCAGTTAAAATATTTTTATGAGATCTTTAATTTTGAAAAATTGAGAGGAAGAGATAAACATTGCTGTAATAAAAATATTTATTGATAGAAAAATATGTTAAATTTATAACTTGGAATTTTAGATTAAAACTTTTGTTAAAAAGCCTATTTTAAGATTAATTGCAAAATAATTCCATTTTTATCTGTTCGAAAGAGTTTCGAGAAATTTGGAAGCATATAAATCATTAGGTTTCTTATATAAATCGTCAGATCTAAAGTCAAGGTCTAAGAAACAGTATACTTGATGCAGTGAAATATAAAAAATCTTATTTTCTTTCTCAATTATGTAAACAAATGGAAATTTCAAGAGAGTATGCTGAAATTTATATCATTTCAAATTTATATCTTGATTTGAAATCTGACTAGAAAATCTGTTTCCAGCAAATGTGTTTTTGCGCGATATCAGGAAACATAAATTATTTGAAATACGCAGACACATGGTCGCGATTTTTCGCTGACCCTGTTTAGTGCAATTCTAATCGCTCATAAACGCGTAATAGATTCTCCGCTCTGCGCGCGCTCATTAAAAACATCGTAAATGGCCGGGTCGTGGTGATAACGCGTAATTCTTTTCGACCGCACGGACATGTGTGTTGAAATCAATCAATGTTAAGCAGGGTCAATAGTCATGCAGTGCAACGCGCGCGATAAGACTCAAGATCGGGAATTATCTACTCGCGGTAAATACATTTAATCCCGATAGCCCGCGCGCGTTGCATCGTCCTCGTCCGAGATGCAATTTCCCGCGCATATACTTGAGCGCAGCATTACCCAATTTAAAAGCGAGCTTACGCATGTTGCGATATATGTCCACGCATTGTCGTAAATTATACTTAATCACGATTTAATTCAATCGTGCTTACTTTACGATTATATGCGCTGCAACGGAATCGACAGTTAATTTCTATTGCTTATTTTATAAATCATAGTATTATCCTTACCACGTCGATGACATTTAATAATCATGTATCATTTGCACTTTCTTACAATTCGAGCATGATATAAAAAGCAAAATCTCGGCGCTTGTATTTACCATGTACTTAACAGAAGTTTAAGTCAGCATTAAATTTCCAAGAGACAGTTAACATTGAATATTATAAAGTTGTAATAAATAAAATAGAAGAATTGATCCTTTATTCTTTGCATTACCTTTTAATGGAAATTTTATTCCCATATTTCCTTATTAATGTAATTAACATCAGTGAGATATTCTGCGTATGATGCAATGTCAACGAAATATAGCGAAACCGCAGAACATGACGAATGCGAAGGTTAAAAACCTCAGTGTCCATGAGACGGATAGAGAAGGCGATGCGCCGTGATTTCGACAATGCGAATGACGCAGCTGATTTCGCGGTCGCATGCGAAAGTACATGCACCTCGATTTTCCACGAAAGCAATTTGGCGTAGAACGGATTATCGTCATTTCGACATCGATGAATATGTCTGACTTTGATTAATCCGTTAGGATTCGCGAT